AGAGGCTCGATGATTGCAGTTGCAATTATCTCGAATGCCTCGCGTTTTCATCGCGGAGCACGCGGTTCATCCGGTTTTCCTCCACGAAAACTTTTTTTTTTTTTTACCTCAGGGGAAAATTTTTTGTAATTTTTTTTGTCGCGGCCGGAGTGAAGGTCAGGGAGGAAAGAAAGGTCAGGGAAAGAAGGACGTCATCTCGTCATTGCATGCAAGATTTAAAACGAAAGGTATACATTTTAATTTAAAATATATATAATTAGAAAATAGAAAATAAAGATTAACCTGTTAAAATTAAATACACATATTTAAAATATACGAAATAAATACACCATTCCAATAAGAAAGAACTGAGCGGTGAAGAGATAGCAGACAGATAGAAGATAGATAGAAGATTTCTTCCATCTTTCCTTAATCGCCCTATCGAAACTCCTACTCCCCCTAAAATTTCGAGAAATCAACGAGGAAAGAGAGGGCAATATCCACTCAAACGAGGGGAAAGCACAAATTTTTTCTTTCTTGGAATGGTGTATTTAAAAAAATTAATTGACATATAAATAAGTTAGATTCGAAGCCTGCTGAAGCATTAGCTTTTTCTTTTTTAGGTGCCCGGGAAGCAGTCGACCGCCGCGATTGAGTTGAAAACCAACGTTCTTTCACCTATAAGAGCGGCGTGAATGGAAAAAAAAAGGGGGGGGGGCACGTGGTCCCCGTCCCTCTCTCTCCCCTCCCCTGCCTCCATCAATTGCACACATTGATTGGAAGGGGGTGGGGGAAAGGAGAATTTTGAAGTCATGAAATTCAAAGAGCAGACCGAGGTGGGTTACATTAGGAAACCGCAACGACGTGATCGGAATGGCATGGGGCGGGGAAAAAAAGTGGAGCGTGCTACTTTCATATTCCTTTTTCATCCATCCGGCGATCGTAACGGCAGGGTTGGGTGTAGACATCAAACGGCAGATGGATTTCCACTCCCTGTTCTTGGACGTGAGGTGGGTGCGAAAGGGATGGGGGAAAAAATAGGGACTCGAGTGATCCGCAACTCGGAGCGGATGCGATTCGAGGACGATGAGATTCGCGAATTTTCGCCGAGGAAAAATAACAAAACCTTGGCGTGACGTCATCTGGTCAATCTCGGCGGAAATCCTGAAAACAGGGCCGAGTGGCTTCGAGTTATCACGTCCGCTTCCGTCGAGACGTGCTAACTCATCTGTTACCCTCTGGGGAGATTCCCACGCCTTCCAGAACGGAATGGGAGTGGAAAGAATTCTCATACTGACTCGGCGTTATTCGCTCTTCACCCCGACAGACATCTCTGAGGGGAACGCGCCGGAACGGCTGGATGAAAAGACGCGATAATATGCTTTCGTTTGTTCAGTCGGCAGTCACAATGGCCACGTGGCCAGGAAATAAAAGACATCGTCACAGGCGAGGAAGCATGCGCGTTCATACGCTTCACGGTTGGATGATAGATAACACGTTTTACAGATAACACGTTTTACAGCCGATGGTCGAGTTTAAGCAATCGGGGCTACATGATGTAACGTCATGGACGAATGAATGAAGGCAGGATTGAGGAAATAAACCATGTGCTATATTTCTCCCTTCCTTTGTCTTGGTCCAGCTTCACAGCAGCTCAGGGCCATGACAATGCACAAATATTTTCTTTAAATACTTTTGGCAATAACATAAGGTCATCCCTCAGGTACCTCCAAAACACAGGCAGCACTGCCTTCCCATACATGATTCCCTTGTGATTTTTTGCCATAATCGTCATTTCACAAAATCATCATAATCCTATTGGGCAATACAATAAAATCAGTCCTAGAGATGTCTGAACCCCTATCTTGGCCAGAATACAAACCACGGACATTTCATAAAAAGGAACCTCAAAGGGTCAATTCATGGTAACCAACTAGACCACTCTTCCTGAGGAGAGAATGATGAATGACCCACATATGGGGGGGGAGGGAAAAAAAAACCTACGAAATGAAACTCCATCCCTGAATCCAAGGTACCATTATGCAAAATTAATTTGACAATGAGGTTCATTCCGATTTGTGCTACCTGTCCATCCATCAACTGGATGTTTGGTGACAGTCTAGGAAATGACCCTTCCACGGGAAGACTTGGGGAGAAAGTTTGCATGCAATCTTATCCGATATGTGCCTCCTAGATGCAAAGTCTTGGTCTTCTAGGACCAGTACAAGGGACAAGGGATTTGAAGAGGGACAATCATAAAAGGATTCACCAAGTATAGCTTCAAGATTTTAAAACCTGACACTTGCAAGGCAAGGGACTAGGTTTCTGTCATTCATATTCTATCAATATATATTTGTGAGAGAAAACGTGCACCATGTTGAAGGAGGAAGGTGCAGCAAACAGTGGAGCTTTCCCTTCCCCATAGACATTTGATGGGAAAAATCTCTATAGGCTTTCAACAATGTAGGCAATGTTTTTTTCTCTTGTTCTCAAATCCTCAAAATAAACACCTCCAAGAAGTTATGATACCCAGGGGTAAATATGATCTGTCTAATGAAGAAGAATAAACCCTCTGTAAGAAACTAGTAACCACATTTATATATGACCCTCATGGTCAAATCTCCAGGTTCCCTGTTTCCAGTTCTCCCTTGATACCTAAAAACAATGCCTCAAATACAAAGAGAACCCTCAAGTGATTCCTTCGCCTGTTTGGTCCAAGGTAAACAGATGCAAAGAATGTCTAATCATTTTTAAACTTCTAAAATGTCAATACATTCCTCTCAAGAAATTACTGTGAGGATAATGTTATCACAAATGAACCACAGGGACATAAAAGGGAGACAAATTGCACGTGGCCACCTTCTTTACCAAGTTCATGACTAGAAAATCCTTCTGATGATGACTGCCTGCAGGAAACAATCAACCCTCTGATCAAAACACACAACCATGCAGACAGGAAGCATGAAATGGGGTGAGAGGATGAAACTGGGGATGAACGTGTTCGATTTTTCCACCGGAAAAAAGGCTGGAATGAACCGGCAGGAAAAAGGAAAACCTGGAAGAATGACAAATGTTAGATGACCAAAAAAAGATGAACAAAGTCCTTTCTAAATGTATCACAGGTGGCAAGAATAGAGCAGACATCAATGTCTCATCTCTCTGGAGTGTTGGTGTGCAGAGGGCGATCTCTCAGTTGTTGTTGCAACAGTTCCATGGATGTCTCTGCCTGCAGAAAAGAAATGCCAGCAGTGTTACCTATTTTTTAAATCTGTAAATACAAAAGATCTACTACAAATGTACTTCACATTACCTTCTTGAGAAGAGCTGTGGCCATTGAGATTATATCTTTCCATTGAGAGACCTCTGCCTGATGCAATTTTTCTTGCTGCTTCAGAGCCTCAACCCACTCTGCATCTGATGCTGGCATCCTCCTAAGTTGACACCATTTTTCATCATCCAACTACAAAATGACAATTTAGGTGAAATTCTTCAAGCCAGCATGAATGATAAACTCACTGGAAGGTAATAACAGGTCTTTGGAAAAGAGATGCCTGGTCCTCTAGACTTCTCAGTTGGTAGAAAAGATACACATTGGAGATGAGGAGCCCTATGAGAAGAATGGCTATCAGTTTCAGGAGACCAGATGAAGACAAGATCGAGAGGCCACTGAGGAGCCCCTCCTGGCTTTGTGGTATCATTGGAACTATTTTCCCAAGACCTGCAACAGAGACACAATCTGGTAAATACAAGTTTTCCCATTAAGTATCCTGCACAAAACACAGCAGCAGTACAGCAGTACACCACATGCAGGCTAAACATGCAGAGAGCAAAGTCCTCACGGCCTTCATCTCCTCCCCTGAGTCTTCCTGGCATCATGAAAGCTGATGTGGGGTAAGACATGAAATGATATCAAATGACCAGATTTCTGCAAGTCACTTATGCTTATTTCTTTCTTTGAAGAACAAATGCAGATATACTGGGAAAACCTGCACAGCCACAAGTTCAATTTTGCTGACCACAAGACTTGGAAATATGGTACCTTTGAATTTTTTGCTTCTGCTTTTCATGAAACATTGGATGGGATGAATGGTGAAATGCATGATTATAATGAAAATAATGATAAAATAAATCAAAGTGAAAATCAAGATAAGCATATGACAGTCACTCTGAACATCACATAGGGTACTCTGCCATTGAACAAGAGTATAACAAGTCCAACTATAATATAATATATATAATTAAATCTCTTGGTTTATGTGAGATCTGAAATGTACAGAGTGATCAGATCTGAAATGTACAGAGTGACAACTTAAAATTGCTGAATCTGCAACCTTAACCACTTGCACTCCAATTTTATCCTAACACTATGGACAACGCTAAGCCATGCTCGAAAATCGGGTGCAAAGGGTTAATATCCTGTTTTGTAATTTTCTCTTGAACCTATTTGAGATGAAATAATCAAATTTTTGTGTGGCTGCAATCATCAATATTTGAAACCAGGAAGAGACTGATTGGATGGAATCAAAGGCAATGCGCATTCAATAAAATTGTGCCATTATTTACCATTACCATTCAAGCAGTGAAGAAAATAGCTTATCATAATTAAATCTCTGTATCCATAAATAATTTGGCACAAGAAAAAATAAATCAGTTGGCATGAACAACTCAAGAATATACAAAATAACACCTTAAAACTTCATTAAAACTTTTAAAATCTCAGTGTTGTTATAAATAAAAAGTTTTAAAATAAATATAAAAAAAACTTCTTATCACAAAACATGTCAAAATTTGTGAGACAAAACGAACAGACACATCATCATGTAATGATGCATATGTGCATATACAGGGTGTCCCAAAGTCATTTTAAAACACTACATTCAGCACTTTATAAAAGAGGTCCACAGAAACGATGAGGGAAAAAGTTTCCATGAACCTCAGCCTACAAAGCCTTGAAGGGAATGGTATTGTAGCACCTGAAGGAATCGTAAAAAAAGAGAGAGAAAAGAGGGTTGGGAAGGGAAATCAGGAACCAAACAAAAAATGGAAAGGGTTGATGCCATCAGGAGAGCAGGTACCAAGATGAAATTTTAGATGATTTTCTAAAAAACAACAAGATTCCAGTGCAGGGTGAGAATGATATGGAAGACCCTGCATTCTGATATTGCTGACAGGGTGATTTGGAAGACAGAAATGAGACAGAAATGGCTCTGAAGATTTGATACAAATGCCACAAAGGTGCTCCACAAAACAATCTCTCAAGCAATGCCCAGTTTACAACACTGTACATATTTCACGTGGGTGAAAATATAAAAAAAGGAGTATAGGATAAATAACAGAGTATAAATAGTAATAAAAACAAATTGCAAATATGCGAAATATGTATAGTATCAAGTGTGAAGTAAATCTTGGGACACTATGCATAAAAATATTCATTTTTTCTGTGAAGACAGGCCAGTGACCAAATTCATCAAGGAAAAATCAGTGTTTTGCATCTGTGAAGTGTGCCTTAGAGGTCACAGTTGACCACAGTGGCATGGCATTAGAACTTTTCAGAATAAAATATAACTTAACCACTCTTAATTTGCCATTAAATTGGGCAAGAAAGTTAAACAGCTGATAACTGGACAACACAAAAGCTCTATCATTTTTATATGAGCTTCCTACCATTTGAAACCCATGTCCATGATCTACTTGCATCATGACTCAACTGGTTGCAATGGTAAAAGAAAATAAGTCATGATGACTACAGAAGTTAAAAAAAACCATGTCCTTGATTTGGTCAAAGACAAAAGTAGGGTGTAAAAACTGAAGTCAATGCTAAGATCAGATGATGCCCTTCTATTTTAAAAGTAATACATCATACTTGTTAAAACTCAGGAATCTGATAAACATGATGAAACTCACTCAGTCGTGGATGTGGTGGCACTTGAGTGAGTGGGGAATCAGAGCTTTCAATGACTCCTGACTCATAAGTCTTGCGCATGGATGTTCGTCTCCCCCTCACCCGTTTGTTTCCACCTATTTGCTCTCCAGTAACCCGTAACAACTCTGAAGCCAGCTTTCCATAATATTCTTCCATTCCAGAATATGTATTCTTCTCAATGAAATCTGCAAGAAATTCATAGCTTTCCTTTCAGCCATTTCCACAAGAAGATAATATAATTCATCAGAATACCAAACTGCCATTTCAAAACTCACTCTTGATTAATCCCCATGTGGACTTCCGGTACTTGACTTGGCCATAGAGGATGATCCGGCATTCAGATGCCGATACACGGGTCATGCAGAAGTGCACAAAAACATAGAAGTTGTCACCATAGGGTATCCCATGATTGACCACATCACAATCTACTGCATAAATATACCCTGGTCTCGTGGCTTTGTCCATGACCTGAAACCATGAATAAAAGATAATGATCAATATGTATGCAGCAAGTTATTGTTCAATAAGCAACAGAATGGTGTTTTGCAAGAACATGGTATTGGCTTGAAACAGTCTTCAAGACATTCATATAGTCATGCAGGTTTGGCAACTATGAAAAAAAAAAAGCAAAAAGCAACTACTGGGTATGATAAGCTTTTCATGAATAGGAATTTCTTAAAAACTCATCCTTAATATTCAAAATGGTAAAGATAGTTTTCCCATTGACCCAAGTTTCTGAATTTTCTTCTCCATACTCAGTATTACAGTATTAATCATGATTTATTACATATTTTCAATGCCACAATAGTAGGGTGGTTCCTCAAAAAACCCTCTGAACTACTCAGTGTCTTCACTCATTAGCATCATTTCCTTAACCCTTTCATGGATGAATTAAGAAAACGAATAACTAGGAAACTTTTTCACTGCTTTTTCTATTGAACAGGCCTAGCTAAAGACAGAGCTTGCAGAAAATTTCCAATATTTACTCATACACTCAATGTCCACAAAATTAGAGATACCCCTACATTCATGCAGCAACAGCATAACCTAACCTAGGTTAGGTTGTGACCTAAAGCAGGCAGCCCTGCTTTAGTGTGTGTGTTTTGACTGCAGAATGGGCAAATCAACAGACCTCAGCGACTTTGAACGTGGAACGGTTGTTGGTGCCAGACTAGCTGGTTTGAGTATTGCGGAAACCGTCAAACTGCTAGGCTTTTCACATGCTACAGTTTCACAGGTATACTGTGAATAGTGTGATAAGCGAAAAACAGCGGCTGTATGGGCATCCTGTGGACGGCAGAGCCTCGTTGATGCTCGAGGTCAGAGAAGGCTGTCACATATCGTTTTGGCCAACAGGAGGGCTACAGTACGCCAAATCATGGCCAAATCAGGATAATGCACCGTGCCACAAGGGCCATATCATCATGGATTGGTTCAAGGAACATGCCCAGGAGTTTACCTTGCTCCAGTGGCCTGCACAGTCCCCTGATCTCAATCCAATAGAACATCTTTGGGATGAGGTGGAAAGGGCTGTGCGGGGCTTGCGTGTACTGCCATCAAACAAGTGGCAACTGAGTGACGCTATACTAGCAACATGGGCCGGGATACCAGCAGAACGTTTCCAGCACCTTGTGGAATCCATGCCATGACGAATTGATGCTGTTTTGAGGGCCAAAGGTGGTCCAACATGCTACTAGTGAGGTATCTCTAATTTTGTGGACATTGAGTGTACATGAGAGGGTATACATATGGCATGCTATATACAAGGAAGAATATGATCCTGGACATACCTCAGCAAGGGCAGTCTCTCGATTCCAAGACTTCAACCTTGGCAGGTTGACCTGTTAAATTGATAAGTAGTCAGTGAGTTTCTCTAAAGAGGTTTTTGTTGTTGCAGATATCTATTTGTTGCTCTAAAACTACTGATTCACATTTCAGATATGCCAAAAACAGTCAATCAAACTATGAAATCCATACCGTGGAAATATTGCTCCTTGTCTGCAATTTTGAGCCAAATACAAAAGGCACTCCCTCAAGGCCTGAAAGGAAGAACGAAAGTTTCATTGCATATAACTATAAGTTCTAATAACATCTCTATCACAGAAAGAGTTTCATATTTTAATTAAATCAATAAAAAGAATATAAAATGGCGAAATCAGGAAGTCAAAAGGAAAGATAAACACAATAGATTTGTGTTTATACAAAATTTTCTTCTATAAGGCTACAGATAGATTGCTATATTGAACACAAACCAGTGAGGACTCCAAGAGTTCCAGTTGCAGGGCGATTGACCCGATTGGCAAGTGGGGGAGGTTGTGGAGCAGGACGTGCAGGAAAATATCCACCATTTAGCAAGGTGGGAGATGCTGGGTTGGGTGAGGAAGAACCTTGTGACCCATTCAAGTGTGGATACAAGGGGGAACTTCCATGCAGGCTGCAAGAAGGATAAACACACTTTGAATGAGTCCTGCTTCTTCTTTGGATATAATAAAAACTATTGTCATTCCTAATGAGTTAACTAGAGAGGAATTGTCCATTGGATGTGAAGACACATGCCCAGCAAAGGGGAATGTTTTGATAAAACCAAGAACATGAAAGTTGAATGTGAAAGAAACAATTCAAGAAAGCCTGTTTTTGGCATTCAGAGAAAGGGATTTGAAAGTTTTGGTGTAGTGAAAAACAATGAAACAATGTGAAATAATATACCATGAGAGAAGCTGTCACTCCATTTCTACCAAATTCAATCAAGATTGAGAAATATGTCTTACATCATAGGTAGTAACAAAAAGCTAATGATTTCATGTAATATAAGCAAATTAGGGCATAGTTATGACAGTCCAAGATTACAGACAAAAATGCCAAGGTTCATGGAAAGATGAGGTTGAGTCCTGAGAGAGAAATGAAAATCTGATATATTTGTGGCTATGAGTGTTGCCTAAAGGGAAGCAAGGATGAGAACCAATTCTTTTTTCTGTCACTACCCAAAAGAATGTTTTGTTGGATTTCTTCCTCAAAACTCTCAATTTCTGTCAAATTTTTTCTCTGCATGCATCCAACTGTAGAACAAATATAAAACTTTTGGCAACTCCAGAATTTTTAGCCAATGACATTCAAGTTCTCTGGAATGCAAGATGGACCTTGGGCATCCTGCATAAGATAAAATCTGTACTCCCTCCACATGGATCAGGATCACAAGACTTCTTCAATGGTACATATTCATGTGAATAAAATGTATGAAGCCATTGCTTAAAAGTGAAAGGAAAGAAAGTAGTTTCTTATTGAAACTTGCAAGCACTTTGCTAAGATGATGAAAACTTCCACACCTGTATGGCAGTGCAGCTGGAGAGGTACTGCTGAGAGGGGCTGGACGTGGCTTGTAACATATGGATATGCCATCTATGTCCCTGCAAATAACGGATGAAGTAATCAATCCCAAGTGACACAAAAAATCAAGGTCCTCTTTCTAATTGCAAACTCCAAAACTTGGCTAACAACATAAGGGAGCCAGTAAGTCAATATTGGCATTAACAAGGATAGCCCAACCTAGTCTATAAAAATTCATGAGAATGCTTTAACCTTCTCAGACCTTATGGCCTTCGTTTAAAAATTGCAATACAAAATCTAAATGTTTGCAATGATGGTTCATCAATGCTGTTGTATCCCTCTCCTCCTTGCTCATCGGCCTGTGTGCCTCAGCAGTTGCTGGGAGCAGTTTGTTGTGCTGGGTGAAATTTCCTATTCTGTGAATGCTGGATGGAACACCCCAAGTGCAATGCCCAATGTGAGTAAATTCTGCAAAGAAGGCTGCAAAGGGAACTCATTAATTTGCTGTAAAAATATATGCATTGTACTTTAGTGTTCAGTGTCAGAAGAATTGCATTGAGGAGTAGAATCAGGGGTGAGGAATGAGTATTGTTGTCATGAAGCAAATAAAAAAAAAAGCTTACTTTCTCTATTATCAATTTGTTTTTTAAAGTTTATTTAGTGTATTTTGTTTAGTGGCCTCATGGTCAATACAGTGGCTGATCCACATGAGAAAACAAAAAAATCTGAGAAAGGCAGGGATTAGCGTTGGTATCCATTTTTGGCACCATCTCCAACAAAGAATATCATGATACCCTTGTTGGCCAGTGTAATATCTGTGGGGTTGGAGGAGGAGAAAATGATTTACCTATATAGTTTATGGCTCACATGCCACTTTGTTTCACTGACCATGTGTACAGGTGAGGATATTTTCAATTTTAACAACCAACTGGTTAGTACCAGCAGACCTTACTTAAGTGGAAAAAATTATAAAGCATAAAAAAATGGTTAGCAGTGAGATAATCTTACTTTGGTATGTCTTGCATATGGGCACCTCATTTAGCATCAGCAATTTTTTTAAATAATATGTTTTTGATATACAGACTTTTGGTGTCTTCTGCTATGAGCAGCAAAGGCTCCCAAAGGAAAGTATTTTTAATTAGTATTTTTTTTTTTACTAAGTATTTACAACTCCAGTATCAGCAGAGATTTTTACCCAGCAGTATAATATCCATCAGGTGGTTTGGAATTGTCCCGACTTAAGAGAATCACATCCGTGATCATCTGGGTGGCATTTTGTTGTGGGAGCTGCCGGACACACAGAGTCTTCTTGCGGATGGCCTTCTGCCCTGGAATGGATAATTAATATAGGCAAATATCATACCAGTAGGTATATTAAGCAAGACTTATGTGAAAACAAAATGTGTCCACAGAAAACAAGCAATACTTTGAGCAAGAGATAGCATAAAGTTGTTGCCCTTAGTATGATCATTTTATGCTATTAGATGAAAGTAGGGGTTTCTATTTAGAATTAAATAAGCTTTCCCCAAGTGTAACATGATTTTCTACAAGTAGGGGGAAACCAATGAAACTCAAATGCTTCAGGAAAGTGCAACTTGACTCAAATGCTTAGGCTATAGGTATCAGCTACTTGTTTGACTTGCTCTCTGATGAATGAAATCATCTCCCTGCAGTTGCCCTGTTTTATGAAGCATGCCATAGTGCCAATTTTCTATGAGATTTTTATTGCAAGGGTAAGTATGAGCATGACATCTGAGTGCTCTCAGATATTGTATATGAAGCAATCATGTTCCAGCTCCATGAAAATTGTTCTACAGGACTTGGGGTTCAAGCACAATTTTTAGTGTATGAGTTTCTCCAGGAAAATGTTAGTTGTAGGAAAATTTCCCACTAGCTTGGACTGCTTATCTCGTAAGACCTGAACTCATGTTCAGTTTAACACTAGAAATTCTCAGGTTGACATGAGAGTCAAACAGTATGTTTGACTCCTGGTTTATGCATGTACGAGAGTGACTCACAACAAAACAGCATGCAGCCTCCCAACAGCAGACTTCAAAGCTTCTCTTTCAATGAAAAAGAAGGGTGATCACAGGCCTTAATGACTATAATTACCATCATTTACAGATGTCCCTAACTTCTTGTTTCTGCTAGCTGGAGACTGCAAAAACATGATAGTGCAAAAATATAAGAAAATCTTACTGTGGGTATTGCAGCATGAACCAGTTCTACATTGGTCTTTCAAGGAAATGCCATTAAAAACAGTTGCAAATTAATGCCAAACCCTTTTCAATTTTTATGAAATTTGGAATGCAGGGTTTCCTTGCCACAAAACCCGGATACGTCACATTTCAGACTCATCAGGCCAGTAGGTCAAATATTACAGGGTAGTCAATATTTACTGTCACCAACTAACCTCCAATTTTAATTGCCAAGTAATTCAAGAACTGTTTATAATAGAACCTTGATTAAATCTGTCAATGCACCGTATGGTCATAGAACATGCAAACAGATCTGGCATACATTAATCACAAGGGCTGCTGCAGCTGGCTGAACAGATTACGAGGTGAGAGGGAGGAATTCTGCATTCGAGTCTTGGACTCCCATTTGACCCAAAGCGGAGTTGTTTGAGTCAAGTTGCAACATCTACAATTATGGCATGTCCCATTTTGGGGGGACCTATACCCATTTTTCATCACTGAAGATTTATTCCTGTCGTGACTTGACCTTTGAAAGCAGGTAGATTTAGAGAGGGGCGAAACAATGTGATCGCCCTCTAGGCTGACCATTATGGGCTTTGAGAAATGCAGGTTGTGGTAATCAGACAGAAAAATAGTTTGAGTTTCATTGGTTTCCCCTACATATTAGGAAGAGTTATGGCCTTGAACAATCTTAGATACAAGATCAGTCTAAACAGGGGATGTGAGATTCAGGTCTTAAAGAGATGGATAACCATTGTCCATTCATCAATGCCATAATATTTTGGAAACTCAATCCTCAATTGGTATGGCATAGTTAGCAAGAAAAAAACAGGGAGTTGCATATCCAAATTGCATTGGTTGCCAAAAACACTACCATTTTTGGCATGTGATAGCATGAATAGGGTGATGGTAATATGGCAGGATGTTTGTCAGCTATCCAAGAAGGCCATGGACAGGTGTGCCTGTTTTGAGAGTAATCAGAGGGTGACATCAGCCTGACCTCATGTAGCCTTAACTTTATTAATGACTTATGGAAATGGTAAAGATACAGAACAGTGATGAGCAACCTTTTTTGACTGCCGGCCACAAGTGAACCTTTTGGGTTCCCTGTGGGCCACGTGTTTTTTAAAATGTTTTTAAAAATATTTTTGTAATATATTTTTCTAGTGAATTACAGGCTTCATGCCTGCTGAGTACCAAAATAATTCTAATCCTGGCTTAGTAAACCAGGTACTAAAATAGTAGATGATAATGATATGCAAATAACTAATTTATAATTATTTCTCACCTTTTCATTGAGCAAAATACCAAGTAAACTGCTTGATCAGAGAGCAGTGGGAAGTGAAGAGGAAAGTGAAGGGATATTTGTAACTGTGGTGGAAATATAGCTTTTATGTTTTATTTCTTGCTTTCATTTCTCCAGCAGTGGGCAATGGAATCCTGAGTGCACATGCACTCTACTCAGCGGCGGATACAGAAATTTTTCATAGGGGGGGGGGGGGCGGTTCCCAAGTTCCTCCCCCCCCCCCGCCTATCACCATTCCTCATCTTTTCGCCTTTTTTATTTTTCGTCTGGGGTAAAAACTTGAGCGTCTATTTCAATGGCTCCGATAAAATTTAATGCAGATACTATTTTGAATAAATAAATCAAATGCTAACCTGGCCATAGATGGGGGGGCAGTTGCCCCCCCCCTCCTGTATCTGCCACTGACTCTACTGCAGATGGCAGATGACAGGGGAAAAAATTCAGTCGGCAAAACCCAACAGTCCGCACACCAAGACCTTGTGGGCCATATGCAGCTTGTGGGCCACAGGTTGCTCATCAATGATATAGAAGTGATTTGTGCACATTCTCAATAGTATAATGCCTATAGAGCAGAAGCATTCCTGCATGCTGAACTTTCACTGATATAAAAGTTGATGATAGTCAGTTGGAAGATGTATGACATTTTAGAACAAAAACTGCTATACTCAGTGAAAATTTGGGAGTTGTATTGGTGCACATGAGCAATCTTACCTGTATCTTTTGTTGCAGATATGTTGGTATAACCACCTGGAGGGTTTTCACCATCTCCAATCACCTTGATGGACTCCACTAAATATGCATTTGGAATTTTTGAAACACACAGGAATCTCTTTACTTTCTTCTGGAAATAGCCATCTTTCCATAGATCTGCAGTAGCTCCATCCACAGTTTTGGAAATCTAGGCAAGGCAATAATAGGACAGGAGATAAGTAACCCAAATATTGTATCGCAAAGCCTTCATTTGATTTCAGGAAATAACACAAATTAGCACCTTCCATTGAGAATTAAAAAACAGAATAAGGAGAGTGGATGTAATAAGCTTGAACAATCCCATCCTCAAGTGATTGTCCATTTAGGATAGTCAAATTGGTGACCACAGACACTGATGCCACCTTGTTAACAGACAGGAACTAAACAACACACCTTGTTATATGCATCCAGTCCAATTAGGTGGAATGCCAACTAAATTAGCTGACACAATTGGATTTACTAATGGACCACCCTGTGCAAAAAAGAAATACATGTGTCCCTTGAATGTACTTGAAAATTTCCTATGCAATAGACATGTTCATGAATATGAATCCAAAGTGCTATTGCATTATGATGCCAAGTTAAGCCAAGTTTCAATATCAACAGCATAGATGAGTATATACCTATAGTGCAAAGTGAAAAATGAGCCTTAGATGAAAATCACTTAGAGGAATTGCTAATATGCTTGTAGTACATCTTGAATACTTTCTGTCTTCACAGACAATACTTAAGTCATGAAGTCCTGTTTCCTTGCTTTGATGGGCAAGACCTCAATTAGTTCCTACTCAGTTTTGTACTAAAGAAAAAAGTCATGGGATCCCCAGCTACATTGAAAACAAACAGTGAACAAGGCTGGTCTAGCTACTATGAAACTGAATGGTATCATTTTTATAACAGGTGGGCATATCCTGCACAGTCTTGGACCAGAGCAGCATGACAGGTATACCCAGAGACAATTAATAAGGTCAGGGGGTTAGTTGTATAATGAATGAAATCTTTAGGTTAACAGGTATGGCACTGATATATGTTTCTACATCTGGCAAAAAAATGTATCTTACCTTCTTAAAGAGGATTTAGGATCAGAGTAGCCTGTCCTTTGGAAGAAAAAGGACAGTCTTCAGTTGAATCATAACCATGAGTAAGGCAATAGGCGTGTCTCCTTGAAAAGGAGTAAACCTGAGGTGCTTTTGTGTGAAAAACTCACACTCAGAAACACCTAAATTAGTTGGTTTAAGTGCTATAAATGTGACAAGATTTGCAAACAAAATGAAATGTGGTGTTGCCACATCCTTCTGGCATGCTAGTAAATGAGGGCACAAGTATGTCAAGACAGCCAGTTTGAACCATTCTCTGATCAAAAAAGCTAGGGGAAACCATTGAATGAAAGCGAATCTACTACACTGAGTATACATTGAGAGAGAGAGACAAAGATGGAGTACATTACACTCTGACAAAGCTAGCCATAACCATGGCCAAAAAGGCAAGTGCATGGATAAGACATCACATCTACTAGCTAATTTATGGAGAGGTTCAACTGTCACATACCACATGATATGATTCGGGACACTTGGATACATCTTCTACAATGCATAAGCCAGTAATTGGCTTCTCATCCTCATTTTGGATTTGTGATCGATCTTCTTGAGTCATTGCATTAGTGATAGGTGAAGATTCTGTAAAAATAACAGAGAGCATCAAAAATTTAAACCCTTCAGTGAAACAAGGCCTAGGCCTAGTTCTAGAAGAGCCTACTGTTTAAGTCCAGAAGCATATCCTAAGTTAATGACTAAATCAAATCAGTCCTACAAGTTGATTAAATGACACTGGTATCAGCACAGATCGTATAGCCAGTCATCCAGACTTTTGCTTCCAGCCGGCTGGCCACAGCAGTCATCGTTGAAAAGCAACTGTATTGAGCTAACAGTAGATTCCATTCATCAGCAACTCCTTTTGACTCCCTTCAGTGATTTCACATGGCAAAAATTGTCAGGAAATAAGTCTAGTTTGAAACATCATGATTACATCATTAGGAAACCACAGAGTCAAGATATTTCCAATTAGACATAAGTTTGCTTTCTGGTCAATCAAGGTGAAATGGTGAGGGGCAGCAAATCAAGTTAGTGAAATTAACTTAGTTTCTTTGGTAAGTCTACCATTTGAGAAAAAGCATACAAGTTATCCAAGGAAGGAAATGAATGGATGCATGAGAGATTGCGAAATTAACTCATGATTATAATGCAACAGGGGACTTATAGGAATATCAGAAATGAAAGCTTGCACAACAAACATATACCTGTAGGTGACAGCACTATCTAAAAGAAAAAGAGACTTTGATCATTCATCCCATGGGCTCTTCAATTTTTTAAACTTGAAGAATTGAAGAAACTAATGATTGAATAAATGAAGTAAGAAACCTTACATCTGTTTCCACTCCCTCCCTCAAGATACTAGGCTACTTCAATCATCCTTAAGTTTCCTTACCAAAACACTGATCTCATTGATGAAATCACCCCTGGTGATACATTAGTTGGTTGCACACACTTAGGGAGGTTCCAATTATTTAAAATGCTAATTTATTGGCCCATTTAACATGACCATAATCAAGTAGTAAATTAGCAAAAGTCTTGATATACTGCCACTGTTGGTCTTTGCCAATTTTGGCACTATGTTGAAAAGTGCAGCTTTAAAACAGAAAATTTCCTAAATAACTCAAATGTAAAATAGAATTAGCAAAATAAATCCACTTTAATTCATCCATGCTGTCAAAAGAAAACAAAAACTACACAGCTTTGAAAAACGATTTGCAATGTTTTGCTGACTTTCAGCCACCCTCGTAATGACACACTTCCATTTTTTCCCTCACACTTATAACTGTACTTTTCCCCATTACTGGAGAATGAGCACACATGAACAATCATTTGGAGAAACTTTAAACTGAAAGAGGCATTTCCATTCTCCATAAGAAAGAAAAGGAGAGGTAGGATTAGGTCAGATTAAGAGACTCCTCCCCCTAATCCCTGGTGTCAGTGCCAAAGCTAAGTCATCCTTCACAATCTCATTATCAAACGATCAAAAGGAAAAGCTGACACGCATGTCAATTTTTTTCCAGCATGGTAGTGCATTGCATAATCTTTGTAGCTGGTATGGTATGCTACTTGGCACTATATCGAGTATGACTTACATTGAATAAGGCACATTTGTGCAAGGCAAGGTATTGGCAGATGGCAGCTTGTGAGGGTGGTGCTATAATGGGGGAGAGCCAATGATAAACCTATGGGGGACGATTTGTTCTCAGGAAAGAGTTGGAGCTAAGAGAGAGTGGTGGTATATCGGGTGGCACTATATCAAGGGTTGACTGCATGTTCAAGGAGTAAGCCATTGGAGGTACCAAGAACGAAGCAAAATTTTTCAAAGTTATAAGTTACATGCTGATGATCTTCAACTCAAATGGAAAGATCATATATATGGCAGTTATCTACAGTTATCTATGCCACATATATTTATACATATTTTCCATATATTGATAGATGAAGCTACTAGATGATTGCATATACAGTTAAAGTATATGATGCATGTGGGACTTATTCATACATTAAACACATTAGGGTGACATATATGTCTTACATATAAGAATGATCAGGATTTGGGGAAGGGCTTCTACATATATGAGTATGTACCCGATTGAAGAATATGATTTTAATGTAAAAGTAAAATTACCAATTAGATGTCATTAATTTTTTTAAATCAAATATCGGCTTGTTGTTAACACATGGAATCCACATTCCATTCCAGCAAATGTGCTGCCGAATTTCCAGAGACTAAGGTGTCTGACATTGTCTAGGCTCCCAATCAAAAGAAGGTAGAGCTGTGAGGGTAAAATAAGAGGAATAGCATGCACAATGAACAAGTTGATGATCCCTAATTGAGTACCATATTGGCACCTGCAAAGAGAATCTACAGTGATTACTTTAATTCTCTTATTTGTCCCTAAATGATAGTGTAACTTGCACAACTTGGTATATCTGCTTTCCTAGCCAACAGTAAAGTTCTTACAACTAAAATGGGCATTTTTGTTGCCTCATTTCAGCTGCTTTATTGCCAGCATGCTAGCTGGAAATAAAGCAACTGAAAATAAACCAATACCCTGCCATTGTTTCAATAAGAAGATATGATCAGACATTTTCCCCCATAAATTTACATATATTTTAATTTATAATAAATTATGCATATCATATACACATGGTCATTTCTCATTCAATTATACTTTATTTTTCTGCATGAGAAACTAAAATTTTAGTCCAGGACCCAATGGGCATAGGAGTGCAGAGCAGGCAGTGGACCTATGATTTACCTGTGGGCAAATGAGGGCAATCAGGGAAGGCAGAGAAGTTCTCTGATGTCACTTAACCCTTTCCCAGTCTGTGGCATGATTTAACACAGTCCGTTTCAAAATGGTTATGAAATCTATTTGAAGAATGAACAAATATAGATGTATTGCTAAGTTGTTGTAGTCTGAGATGAATACAGAATATGGCAGGAGCCTCCAGAACAAAAGCCTGCACCATGGCATGAAACTCACTACAAATCCTGTAACTGTTGGAAAAGGGTCAGCATTAAATCATGCCACAGACTGGGAAAGGGTTAAAATGCCAGGGCAGTAACATGGTATGAATTGAGGTTCATATAGCCATTTAAACAATAATTCAATCTTATGATTGCTCAATAAATCCACATCACATACCTCTAACTTCATTCTATTTTTTTTCCATCACCAATGTTGGAGATCCTTCAACTTGTCACTTCATTTCCAATTCAATACAATAAGCATAAATTCATTTGAGGTTTTTTGGGGGTAAAACAGGCAATATCTACAGAGAAGAAATCAGGGTTTTTGTTCCACCAAACCAGAGAGTCCCATATTGCATATCTGTTCCAATTAACCCCCACAACTGTAAAAATATACATATCTCCCATTAGTCATTATAAATCAATGATGTAATTTGGGAGAGTAAACATTTCATTTTTGTCTGCTTACCACAAGGGCCACATCATTCACTCATGTCTTCCTTATTTACACAACCACTACCTGCAACTTGGAATGGGCAATGTGGGGCACTTAGTTGATTCAGAGGCCACAGTCTTATGGAGAAGGATATGGTACAGCATGGCTTCACACTACCTGATTTGTAAACAATAAGAGAAAGTGCTTCTGGCTGGTTTCTGCTATCCTTTCTGTTTTCAGTCACCCCCCCCCCCCCCCCCCCCCCCCCCCTCATGTCAGAATCTGGGAACCACACCAACTTTCTGTTTTCAGTCCCCCCCCCCCCCCCCCCCCCCCTCCCCCTCATGTCAGAATCTGGGAACCACACCAGGGGGAGAAGAAACCCTTTGTCTCCTGGACTTCAACCTCCTGCTTTCTTTAACAGCAAGAAAAATATTATCAGCCATGAGCATAAGGAATATCTGCTTCCCTTCATGGATGAATCTGGGAGTGCCTCTCTGGAGACACAGAGTATAGTATCTTTAGCCTTTGGGAAATGTATTCTAAGCACTTTCTTTATAACTACAGGAGAAATCTGATGGAATTGTTCCTAGAGCATCTTTCAGCAGCTGAGAGAAAAGAGTCTTAATGACCTAATGATCTGAAAGATCAGCTTGGAGATTAGCTCCTTAGAGGTTAGAACATTCATGACAGCATTTGTCTCAAATTTAATACCACCTCAGCAGACCATTTGGTAACACTGGAAAAAAAATTCATAGAAGCTACCTTTAATTAATAAAAAATATTAAATTTTGGCAGTCATCATAAAAAACATCCTTCTTCTCATGAGAAGAGCAAGAATAGTGTATTTCAACTGGAATTGCCTTGGGCTTAGAACATTTTGATCACCCCTTGTACCATCTGAGACATTTGGTATTTCTGCTACCCTTCTTCCCTTCTAAAGTATTCTGCATGAATAATGAATAACGAATTTATGAGGGGTTGGGGATGATAGGAGATCAGAGGATAATAGACAAAGGCAGCAAAAGAAAACAAGAGATCAATCAACAGCCAGGAAGTGTTTCCCACTGGACATGGTAAACTTTGCATACAGAATAATAGACCATCTAGTACACTAGTACTAACACACAAAGTTGCTTCAGATGCTTTTACCACTTCCAAAATATAAAGGAAAACTACACTCTGTCATAACAGTTCTCTGTCTCACTTTTTGCACCATAAATGTCTGTTGCCCTTTTGCCATCTTCAATGAGGGCATCAAAACAGATATGAAGATAATTAATAATAATGCACCATATGATATAATGAGGATTAAATAGATTCTATCAAGGCTCCATGAATCCTCCTAGATGCCAACATTTAAACAAATTTACTAAAATATAAGAAGGGTGAAATGCAGCATGCAGCTGAAATACCTGAAATGCAAAGCCTGACAGGAACCTAGAACAGAGCTATATTCAGGCCCACAATGATGGTAAATGGCTATGATAACAAGCTTACTGCATTCCCCATTTGGGTTCAATGAAGCCAGTTCATCTGAACAGGTCTAACATTTGTACATAGCATTCATAATATCCAGGCTAACTCAAGTTACCTAAAAGATGTCTACAAGAGGTACTCAAAGTTTATAATTGAGAAAACTTTCATGCATCTACCTTGGTAGAGGGAAAT